CCCGTCAGCCCTGCCAGCCCCCGCCAAGCCCCGCCAGCAGAGCAGAGACGGGCTAACTTTTTGCGGGCCTGCTAGCTGAAATCAAAACGTCTCAACCACTTGCACCCCCTACTGTTTTCTGCGCAGGCGAGGAAGAAAGAAAAGGACACATCTGACTCGCATTATGCACGGGCGCAGTTTGTTCCGACTACTACTTTGGGCCTATCTCGCGTTCGAGGTGAGGTGAGTACCGGTGAACACGTTCGCCTGCAGTGAAGCACGACCTAGTTACGGAACGTACTGAACCTGGATCCATTCTTCTGACCGAGGCCTCTGTCGTTTCAACTTTCGCCTGACTTGCTCTGCTCTCTGCTCGCGGTTTGTCATTGTCATGCACACGCCTGGGCCGGGCAGACCCGGTGGCGGAGCCGGTGGCGGAGCAGCCCCGGGGGGATCTCTCGTCTCTCTCTCTCTCTCCCTCCCACTCTCTCTCCTACACACGCCGCGCCCCTCTATTTCGCTCGCTCTCGCGCAGGTTTCTGCTGTTCAGACGTAGCCACGCAGAAAATGATGTTCTGGGTTGACTTTGATTCCACGAGCGAGCGAGATGTGAGAGGAGAGAAGGAAGGCAGAGGAGAGGGGTTGGGGGGGGGGATAGGAGAGAGGGCTTAGGGAGGAAGGCCTAGTCGGCAGTCAATTATCCTTTGATTGGGGGAAAGTGTGTAACAACAACGGCGCTACATGCATTCGGTTAACACAGGAAGGATTGTTTCTTTAGACCAAAAGTAAGGGTGTGCAACAATTTATTTAAAACATTTACAGAGTCGACAGAGCAAAATACAGTTAGTATTCTGAAAAGAGGAATTAGTCAATTAATAGTTTCATTGAATCAGAATTAAATCTACGCAGTTAAGAAATCTGTACACATTGATACATTGATGTGATCTCTTTATGAAAAGACAGTATCGCAAGTGCACACACTGCACGGTCACGTAGTAGCAAAAAAACTTGACTCAGCACAACAACAATGTAGTACTTGGCAGCAGGATGCGTGATGTTTAGCTACAGAATTTATTTCTTGGAATGAGTGAACAAGTAATCCCGTGAAGCAGATCGAACTTTTCGAGTTCAACGTCATGCCAATGGGGCAGGTGGCAGCCCAGTGCACAGACTTCGCACAGCTCGTCATCTGGGCAGTACTTGGGTAAATTTGGAACAAACAATTCAAGTGAGGAGTTGTTAGTGAACAGCTTCTTGACTGCGTCGCTGTGCAGCCAGGCGTGAGCGCACGGAAGAAGTGTGTCATCAATTGGATGAAGCTCCAGGCCCTCCAGAGCCGGGGTCGTTTGGGGCGTGATACCTAGCAGCAGTTCACTAGGTGCCGGGTCCACCGCCAGGTGCTTCAGGGCCTGCAGCGAGGGCAGCGTGGCGAGTAGTGGTGTGACCAGCGTGAAGATCTTGTCAGGAGGAGCGGCAAATTCCCACGACGCTCCGAGTGACAGCTTTTCCAACTGGGAACGTCCGGAGCATTCCAAGGCTCGGATCAAGTCCACGCCTAAATCAAGGAGGCTTCTGTCTTCGAAGAATGACCTGTAGTACAACATCACTTCGCGCAGCTGGTGGGCGCGGCGAAGGAGTTTCGCAGCCCCCACGAGGGCACGTCGGTCAGGTAACGCACACACATTGATGGTCAGGGTCGTTAGGGACTCGCATACGACCAGTGACTCCAAGCCCGGTAGCACGGGGCATTCTAGCTTCCGCAGGTTTGGCATCCCGACCAGCAGGGACGCGGTCTCGCTCAAGTACGGGCAGTAATCGTCGGACAAGCGACTGCCGAGGCCGAGGTCAACCTTCTCCAAGGTAGCGGCGTGCAAACTAAGCACGAAATGTGCAAAACCATAATCTGATTGGGAAAACAGAGAGCAGATGAAATACCTCAGGGATGACGTAGTCACGGCGCCGTGCTGAACTAGCCTTGCTATGGTCGACGCTGGACAAGGAGAACAATGGTCGCAAATGAGCATTTCAAGGCCAGACGTTGACGCAACCGTCCCCATCAGAGCAGTTTGTTCTCTATCAGAACCCAAAGGGAAGCTTATTTGAAGGACCCGTAGTCGGCCGAGCGCCTCCTGGCTGCGGATCAAAGCGGCCGCGTGCATGGAGCCGCCCTCGTCCACCACACCCAAGTACAACTCCCTCACAGCACACTTCACCATGGTGCACGCGAGCAGGCACCCCGGCGTTGGGAGATCCATCATCAGCGTGGTCAAGCACGGCGCGAGGCGGAGTACAGGGCACAGCCATTTGAGTTGGTCGCCGTAGGCGTTAAGATCTCGATGCCGCCACACGTCTGGGTGCAGCGCCAGGGCCCCGAGCCTCTTGCACACGAGGCGGCAGGCGAAGAGGTCTTCCACAGTCAGGTACCGCATCACCTCCAGCAGCACGTCGTCCGGCAGCTGCTCCATGTTCTAGGGTAACACAGAAATGGAAATTTTCAGAAACAAAAAGGTGACGTGACCGAGAGAAAATGTCTATCACCAAACTCTGCTTCAAGATGGCAAGCCACAAAACTGCGGGTCGGTGCTCAACACTATCGCCGTTAACAACGATCAGCCAATATGAGACGATAAACTGCCGACGAGTTTCTAGTTTGTTCACTGCAGAGTTGACACTGACCCACCTTCAAGTTCCAGCAAGCGTTGGCAGCAGCGTCTGGCGTCTGGCGTGGAGTGGAAACGGCGAGATCTGGTCTTGTCTTGTCCGCGAGCTGCGCACTGCGTGACTGCGAGCGAGCGGTGAGGCGAGCGGGGCGCGAGCGGGAGTGATTCTGCCTGTGGGTACCGCCGCCAGTGGCGCCAAGAGGGGGTCCGAGGTGCAGCAAATGCTGCACCTAAAATGGGAATAACCGGGTGTGAGTAGGAATAACCGGGTGTAAGAAGGGAGGAAGAAAAAAAGAGAGGGAAAAAGGGAGAGAAGGAAAGAGAGAGGAAAGAGAAAGGAAAGGGAGAAAGAAAGGGAAGGGAACCAGAACGAGTAGCAGGTATACCGGCACCGGCAAGGAATAGGGGCGGGGGTGTCCGCCAGTGGCGGACCGGCCAATGTGGGGAGGTGGGATTCCTCACCCGGGCCCCCTGCTCGCGGACATCTCGGGCCCGAAGGGCTCGAGAGAAGAGATCGAGCCACGGGCCCAAGTCCTGAGCGCGACACCGGACAGGAGCCCCGGCCTGGGCCCTAGATTCAAGCGCCATGTAATTTTTTTCGCGCTCGCTTCGCTCGCGTTTTTTTATTGTTCTACAAGAGCACTGTACATAAATCGCGTCCGACGGAATCCTGCCCACGTTTCGGTACTCGGAAGGCCTTCTTAGCTACCTCATACAATCAAAAAATTTTCGCGCTCGCTCCGCTCGCGACATATTTCTACAGGCGGTATATACAGTTCCAATGTCGGCACATGCTGGGAAGCATGCACTTAATTGAAACGGGCCAGACATGTGCGCCTTGGTGTGCATTATTACGTATATATTGCCCCTGGAAGGTAGGAAAAACTGGGCCCCACTTCCAGATTTCCCTTTACTGCCCAGTCCGCCACTGGTGTCCCTGCCTAAGTGGGCGAAAATATGGGGAAAAAGGGAAAATGGGGGGGGGGGGAATAACCGGGTGTGGGTGGAATAACCGGGTGTTGTGCCTCCGGCTTGCTGCACCTCGCGAAAATCGTCTTGGCGCCACTGACCGCCGCCACAGACCAGCGCCCTGTGGCGAGAGAGCGTTGATGCTCGTCGGGAAAGAGTGGTGTGAGGTAGGGTAGGTAGAAGTTCTGTAAAGTCTCTCGAGCTGGGGACGGTCTACCGGCCGCACCGCACGAGGGCGGCGGCGGCGCCAGAAGCCGGGAGTCAGCTGAGCTCTCGCGTCTCTCTCGCACTCACCGCTGCTAGCATACGTCTGTCTCTATCGCCCAAACGACCGTCGCACCACTCGCCAGCAGACTGATTCCGAAGAGCGCTCAAGGGGGGCTGCCCTATGAGTGCGACAGGGACGGAGCTAGGCGAAAGGTATAGTGTACTTCGATTAACGGAGGAAGAAGAATAGCGGGTAGAACATAAACGTTACCGATTAGTCGAGAGCTTCCCGCCTCCACGTCACGCTGGTAGTGGGGGTAAGCGCTCGGCCAATCAGGAACCTTTATGTTCTACCCGCTATTCTTCTTCCTTCGTTAATCCAAATACACTATAGGGGGGCGCTCTTCTGAATCAGTCAGCAGCCCTCCTAACCGGGCGCCTCCGGACCCGGGCGCTCCTTGCGGGCGAACCGAACCGTCGGTCTGGACATGAGACCGGACATGACCTCGGTCCTCGGTCGTAGGGGCACCAGGGGCAAAGTCTCATGTCTGAGGCCGGAAGTCTCATGTCTGTCTCATATCTGGGCCGGGAAGTGCCCCCATATCGTTCGTCTCGAGGCCCACAAACAGCGCAATCATTGCGTAACCTGCGCAACCCCACGTGAGCTGTGCAACCCCTTGAGAGGACCGACTCTATAAGTTTGTGTTTGTGTGCTCTTGTCGACTAAATTCCCCAGCACCCCACGGGTGGTAAAGTTGTGAGGCTGGTCAAACAGAATAGGAAATCGTCTGTCTCTGGAGACCTCACCTGCGCACTACCTATGAGTATTTCTTATTAAATCGAATCACCCCCAGCCATACTACCCTCTCGAAAATCACACACCATTCTGAAAGCCATTTGCCCCCCCCCCCCCATCCATACCTGTTTTATGGTTTATTGTTATTTGCAGAAAGTATGTAGTTCGTTGTCACTCCACACGGTGAAAAAAGGTTTCTTGTGTTTCCAGACCCAGTCGTGGATCTTCTGGAGAACGCCAATGGCATTTAAGACCAGGTCTTGAAATACAAGAAATTATTTTTTTACCGCTGCTATATGCCTGCCTTTACGTGGTGTCACACATGGACAGCCTCTAAACAAAATCAAATTAAATCTAATCCTCTTTATTTGTATACGCCTTTATTTTTCACATACATGAGGGGGGGGGGCTCTCTGGAGAGTAAATAACCGCCCTGCAGAGTAGAATATTACAAGACAAAAAGGCAAGTATACACTGGCAGTATAGGAACTCATCAGACAGTAATTCAGAACCAGTCCACATCCAAGTCGGGGTCAGAAAAACTGTCTTCGGAGGACTCGATGATTTGCACCGGCTCTAAACTTTCCACATCAGCCCAGCCCCTGGGCGTACTCTCCGTCAGCATTTCTAGGCTTGCAATGTCGGGAATGTAGTACCACGGTCCATATCTATCGTGGATCTCTGGACATGGGCACACGCCTCTCGGGTCATGCGTGAAAAAGCCGGCATCAGTGTCCCACAGCTCAGGGTGACACTCGTAAGCACACACGTCGCAGGGGCGCCCAATACAGGTTGAACGCCCAATGCACATTTTGACATGAAGCGAGGGGTTCTCACCCAGGAGCGTCTTGACTTCCCGCCTGTGCAGCCAGGCGTGAATGCACCCCCACCTGGACTGGTTCACCGCGAGGCTCTGCAGCGCCGGGGTCGTGACCGGGGTGATGGCCCGGAGCAGCTCGTCCGGGGCCGCCTCCACGCAGAGGTGGCGCAGGCGCGTCAGCAGGGGCAGCGCTCGCAGCAGCGGCCGCAGCTGGGGCAGGTGACTCGGGATGTTGGCGATGCGCAGCGACTCCACGTCGGACCGCCCGGACGCAGCCAAGTGCCAGACCAGGTCCACGCCGGCGGTGCTGGGGGTCCAGGGCAGGAGCTCGCTCGTGTAGTACACCAGGGTGACGTCGCGCAGCTGCTCGGCGCGGCGGAGCAACTCGGCGGTCTCGGGGCCGACCGACTTCCGGGTCACCATGAGGGTGAGCTTCCTCAGCGACCGGCACGCCGCCAGGACCGGCAACCCGGGCAGGACGGGGCAGCTCAGCTCGTGCAGGCTGGGCAAGTTGGCCAGCAGGGACGCCTGCAGCGTGGTCGAGAGGGGCGACGAGGGGTTGAAGCTGATCTCTTCGAGGGTGGTGGCGTGCTGGGCCAGCACGAACCTGCAGACGTCCTCCACCTGGCGATCCAGTCGGTCTCCACCATCGCCCGTCGGATGATGATGCCACATGCTTGCCCTCCAGTCAAGATGGAAACGCCTCAGAGTGGGGGTGGGCCCGGCGCGCAGATGGCGCAGCTTGTCCTCGGTGGGCATGGAGCCCGCACTGCCGCTGATGGACAGCTCCTCCAGGCCGCTCGTTGTCGCCAACGTTGTCAATACTTTGACGGCAGCATCGGCAGAACGCATTTCACGCGGCAACTCAACCGAGAGGCTCCGCAGGCGGCCGAGCCTTTCCTGGTTGCGGATCACTGAGACGACTGTCTGGCCAATGGCGTCCCCCGAACCCAAACTACGAAGTACCAGCTTTGCCGCCGCACATTCAGTGTAGAACGCGTGCGGACATCGCATCCCCAGCGGAACGGTCATGCTCATGACGTTCAGACACGGCGCCAGACGAAGCACCGCGCACGGCAAGGCGCCGCCGCGGCTGAGGTCAACACTGCGGTGCCGCCACACCACAGGGTCCGCGACGAGCCTGGTGAACTTTTTACACACGAGGCGGCAGGCGAGCAGGTCCTTGGCGGGCACGAACCTCATGACCAACAGCAGCAACTCGTCGGGGAAGCCTTCCATGGCAGCACTCTGTTGGGGCACAAAGTCGGGTAAGATCAGGGCACGGCGAGCACACATGTTCCGGGTGAACACGAGCGAAACCTTCGAGTTGCGGGTTTGCCTAATCCCTCCGCCCGTAAAGGCGCCGTGGCCCCAGCGGCCCAAGAGGGTAGGCATCCAAGCAAAACTTTGATGTTCGCTCTGATACACTCGGTAAGCGCTAGGGGACGGAGACGGTAGTATGCGCTTGAACTCGAATTCGTCAGAGGAATGAAAATTGTAGCTTACCGATTCGGGCGGGTCCGACAGCTGGAAAACTGCGTTCTGCTTGGAGACTGCCATCTTCACTACTGCACTGGCACACTGCGACTGGACTGACTGGACTGGCGGGCGGGCGACTGACGAGTGGGTACGGGTGTTGTCCAATCCTCCTCGACCTGACCGCTCTCCCAGTCGTCGTCGTCGCCAGGGGCAGCAACAAAGAAGGCGGCGCAGAGGGGGAGGAGGGGGGGGGGCAGCCCTTGTAACAGCGGCCGTGTCCCAGGTCACCCGGGCGGGATTAGTGATTCTGGTGATTCCCCCCGTCGGGGAAAATGGCGGTGGCGATACTATACCATGAGAGAACGGTGTCCTGGAGAAGGAGACTTACCTTCTGCCGTCCGCGAACGCCCTTTAGTAGCACTCTTGGGGACTGATTTCTAGCTGTAATTTTTGTTGAGCGCACCGAGTGTGTTTCAACGTGGCATAGAGAGGTTTGTTTCTTCCTCACCCCACCCAACGAGTCCCAGCCCAAAGGCAGACTGTAAGGCACGCAGCCTGGTCCACTGTTAGGAACTGTGTCGCATCGCCACCATTTCAACTCATGTGCTGCCTCGAGGCTGCATTTCGCACTCATTAGCGATGCATATCCGGGATCTTTCGGGGAAATAAAGCATTTCGATAAAGCTGAAATGCAGAAGAATGCGGGAAACAAGAAAAAGAAAGGCACGATGCTACAGCACAGTGCTTTCCGTTTTGTTGTTCCCCTCATTCTTCTTCTTATCTCAGCTTTACCGGCATACGGCAGGCTTTATTGAGAAACTGTTTGCGTGGTTACTCACATTTATTACGTTGCATAAGAGTACAAGGATAACAGCCAACTCCGGAGCCAACTTGGGAGTCTTTGATAACCCACTGGCGCACGTCGCAGTCGCAGTCCAGCGCACACGCATCACAAAGTCGGTCTCCAGGACAGTTCTTCGGTACGGAAGGTACGACAAGGAATTGTAGCGAGGGTATACCAATGGAGAGCTTCTTGACGGCGTCCTTGTGCAACCATGCATGGGCGCAATGGCGGGGCACCGGGCGCGCTGCCCCGAGCGGGCGCAGCACGAGCCTCTCCAGGGCCGGGACCGCGTCCGGGGTGATGCCCGACAGCAGCTCGTCGGACACGTCGTCCAGGTGCAGGGTACGCAGGGCCGGCAGCGAGGGCAGCACGCCGAGCACCGGCCGCAGCAGCGAGAGGCGCTGCTCGGGGCTGTCGAAGCTGCCCGTCGTGACCATCGTCAGCGACTCCAGGCGGGAAGGTCCAGAGGAGACCAGGGCTCGGACCAAGGGCTCGCCGCCGACGTCAGCGACTCCACTGTCGAGAGGCGCCATGTAGATCAGCGTCACGTCGCGGAGCTGTTTGGCGCGGCGCAGGAGCTGCCAGGCGCCCATCACGGCCGGGCGCTCGGGCGACTCGCACACGTTGATGATCAGGGTCGTCAGGGACTCGCGCGCAGCAAGCGCCTCTAGCCCGGGTAGCAGCGGGCACTCCAGCGACCGCAGGTTCACGATCTCGGCCAGCAGGGGCACCGTCGCGGCCGAGTACGGGCAGCCCCTCTCATCCGAGTGGCAGCAGGAGTCGAGGTTGACGTCCTCCAGGGTGGCAGCGTGCGTGGCCAGCACGAAATGGACAAAAGGATCTGCTTCCGAGGTACTCCTCTCGCAGCTAAAATACTTGAGGGATGGCGTGCACGCGGCGCGGTGCTGGAGGACGCTCGCCATGGTGTTCGGTGCGCAATGCACTATACCAGTAACAGTGAGCTTTTCCAGGCCAGACGCCAGCGCCGTCGTTCCAAGCAGCACTGCCGACGGAGAGGGTGGCATCGATACTTCAAGGTCCCTGAGGCGGCCGAGCGCCTCCTGGTTGCGGATCATCGCAGCTGCGTGCGTAGAGCCACTAGGTTGTACATCCAGGTTTAAACATGACACAGCACACCTGGTAATGGTGTACGCCAACTGACACCCCTCCGTCGGTAGCTCGGCAACCAGCCAGTCCAGGCACGGTGCCAGACGCAGTACTGGACAGGCCCAAACGAATTCACTTGGGAACTGTAGGTGGAGCCCCCGTTGCCGCCACACGTCTGGGTGAAGCGCCAGGGCCCCCAGCTTCTTGCACACGAGGCGGCAGGTGAAGATGTCCTGTCGGCCGAGGTGCCTCATTATCTCCAGCAGCACATCGTCCGGCAGCTGTTCAATGCTCTGTGGATGCGAGAGAGACAGAAAATGAGCAACAGTTATAATGGTGGTTAGGCTAACCTATATTGTTACGTTACACTAAAATCTCATAGTTTCGAGAAATTTCAAGTAAGCAAGCAACGAGATTGCTTATTCAAAGGTTAATGAGAAACCGAGAGACATGTTGGCATTTGTCATGCAAGAAAACAGCTATCGGCTTATCCCAAGGAGGAATTTGAGCCTAGACGTCAAAATGAGGTAACTAACTTCAATACACACGAACCAATTTTGAAGATTGTGCCGCCATAATAATGCGCCCTGTGTCGAGAAATGGGGCTGAATCGGTTGAGGATGTCCGCTCGACGACTTCGACCGTTCGGCCACACGACAAGAATAGTATACAGCCTTGCGGAGCGGAGCGGACTGACTGACTACAGACTAGAGGAGGTCCATGCTGGTTTTCTGGATTACAAAGCACGGCGCGGCGGGGAGGGGGATACGGTCTACTCGTTGAGCGCTGCTGGCGGCGGCGGCGTATTCAGATACTACTAAAGCTACCTGAACCGCAATCTTCTAGTGTGGGGCGACGCCTTTGCCGTCTTGCCTTTGGCTGAACCGTAAGTGGGTTCACCCTACTTGTCAACACCCCCCCCCTACCCCCGTGGAAATCTCCGATTTTATACAAAATTCAGCAAATTTGATCCACGAGATTAAGGAATACGGTTGCCCATATCCAGGTTGTATTTCGTGAACCATAATATGAATATGGCATCGTCCGTTAGTAAAAAGCCACTCTTTTCCCTCTCTCTGAGAAAGAGTAGTGGTGTGTGTACGTGTGTGATATGCGTATGTGCACGTTGTTGTGGCAGCTCGGTTGCACTGCCAGCCATGCAACCCAATCCAGGAGCACCCGGGGTCCCTTATCACCACCCCCCTCCTCCTCCTCCTTTCCCCTCTCACACATCCTCACTCTTTCCTTCTCACCCCCCCATCCCTTTCTTCCCTTCCGCACCCACAGCGAGCCAGCAGGGAAGTTGTGAATGTTTTAGAAGCCAATTCTTGCAGCGGCGTTCATCTTCTTGTCTCCCTGCTCCTGCTCCCCGGGCGCAGTGGCACCAGCGGAGGCGCGCAGCGCAGCCTGCCGCCTGCCTCACAGCTGCTGAGATTTTTATAAGTCTTGCTTTTTTTCTTCCAAACGCTCCACGTGTGGCGATGTGACGTCATCAGCACACTTTTTCCGGGCGACCCGGGCGCAGACCGCGGGGGCTTCTCGTCAACAACTTTGGGGTTTAAGGGTAAGGGGTGTTTCTCCTTCCCAATGTGGCCGTCACGCTGGTTGGTTCTACGGATTAGCGCAGCTGGCCGGCCGGCCTGGTCGAGTGGCGGAAACTATGGAATTTCCCTACAGGCGGTACGGTTTATACCTGTAACGCAAGGGGAAATAGGCTTGAACTTCGGTGTACGTTTCCTTGAACTTCGTCGAACTTCGGTGAACTCCGAGAACTTCGGTGAACTTCGGTGAACTTCGCGGAACTTCGACCGAAGTTCTCGCACTTCGACCTGGTCAAGAGATATGAAAGCAAAATTGTTCCTCTGTAATCTTTCTAATTCGGACCGTAGATACCTGCTTTAAGTAAGCTCGAGACTCGCTTATAGTAAGCACACAAAAGTGACCAAGTGCAGCCGTAAATATGTACTAAAATATTTGGAACTTCAGTGAACTTCTCAGATTTATTTTGAACTTCGGGGAACTTCGACATTTATTTTGAACTTTGGGGAACTTCAACATTTATTTTGAACTTCGAGGAACTTCGACGCTTATTTTGAACTTCGGTGAACTCCGTGAACTTCGATGGATTTCGGCGAACTTCGGAGAATTTCACTGAACTTCGATAAAATTTTACAGAGCGAACTTCAGTGAACTTCGGCCGAAGTTCATGAACTTCGACTCCGGGTGTACAAATTTTTGGAGCCTATTTCCCCTTGCTGTAACGTCCTTCGCCTGCGCCGCCGGTGGTGCAGGATTCCCAAAATTGGTTGGCCACATGGTCGTGCGTGTCAAAGCTCGTGCGGTTACTCCTGTGGTCTTCCTACACAGTGATGCTGTGGCTGTCTGTGCGAGCATGTTAGGGCGTTAGGGGGTGGGGGGGGGGGACTACAGCGGCCGGGTAGGCGACCACTCGGCACCCATAATCACGATGTTGCCTATCCCGCGGGCGCGTCGGCCGTGTCGACCCACCCCCACGACGCATTGGCTCCGTCCCGAATGCCATGACTGCCCGTGAGTCGGCCGTGGCCGTGAGGCAGGGGCGGGGTGGGGCGCCCCTCGGCACCCTCACGGCGTGGAGGAGGAGGAGGAGGAGGGCGGCGGAGGGGAGCGTCCCCATTGGCCAGCCCGCTCGCGCAACCGCAATATGACGCCACGGTTATGGATCCATATCGCGCCGGGCCGCCATTGGGCGGCGCCACCCCCGCGGCGGGAGGGGCGGGGCCGCGCGCGCTCACACACACACACACACACACACACACACACACGCGCGCGCGCGCGCTCGCGCAATCCAGGTGGGACGCACACTGCCGCGCGCCACCCTGTATACATCGCAGTAACAACTTCTACTTCTGGCTCTGGCTCGACTTCTAGTATATTTTCGGAGAGCGCATCGCCTAGGGCGTATATATTTTTGCCCTCGCGTTTCCCCCCCATCCCCTGCTCCACGATAATGTAACTGGACGGCAATGTCCAGTCCCGTTACGACGATAAAAACTGCCCCGCAGGCGGCGGCCTTCTGGTCCAGCGCCGGCAGCTGGAGGCTGAGGCTCCAGGCGCCGGAGAGTTATGGCCATATCCGGACATAGCGGCGTCCAATTTGAGGATAGTGGTACGCCCCAGTGTGTGTGTGTGTGTGTGTGTGGAGGGGGCTGAAAAGACCAAAGTGCTGCTGTAGCAGCAGCGGGGCGGGGGCGCGCGGCAGTCCACTACTGCTGGTGGTACGCCTGCGTTTAAGAGTTGCCAGTCATTCCGACAAAGCATCATTGTCTGCAGCAAAGCAGAGGCAGCCAGAGGCCTTGGGGGGAGCGAGCTCTGCGCGAGCGAGAGAGACAATGACGGCGAACGGAAGAGGTGGCGCGGGAGAGGGAGCGAGAGAGAGATAGGGAGCGAGAGAGCCTGGACCAGCGGCGTCCACTCGGGACATAATCCGAATAATGGCAGACTCCCACACATTACAAGATTACTGGACACAGCCCGGCCGAGGCGAGGCAAGGGGGTTGAAGGGGTGGCGGGAGTGGTCGGGCG